AAAAAAAAAAAAAAAAAAAAAAAATTTTTTTAATTAAAAAAGAAAACAAAAAATGCCAGGCATAGTGGCTCATGCCTTTAATCCCAGCACTCTTGAGATACCAAAGTAGGAGGATCGCTTGAGGCCAGGATCTCAAGACCAGCCTAGACAATATAGAAAGACCCCCGTACCTACTAAAAAAAATTAGCCAGGCATGGTGGCACATGCTTATAGTTCAAGCTATTTGGGAGACTGAGGTGGGAGGATCATTTGAACCCAGGAGTTTTGAAGCTGCAGTGAGCTACGATCACACCACTACACTCCAGCCTGGGCAACACAGTGAGACCCTGTCTTTTAAAAATTAATAAAATAATAATGATTTGGAATGGACAAGGACTGAAGTACAGGTAAAATAAGACTGATAATGAGTTGTTAGTGTTTAAGATGAGTGACAGGTTTGTGGGAGGTCACAATACTGTATTATTTTCGTACATGTTTGGAACTTTTCATAAAAAAGTTAAAGGAGGGGCCGGGCGCGGTGGCTCAAGCCTGTAATCCCAGCACTTTGGGAGGCCGAGGTGGGTGGATCACGAGGTCAAGAGATCAAGACCATCCTGGTCAACATGGTGAAACCCCGTCTCTACTAAAAAAATACAAAAAATTAGCTGGGCATGGTGGCACGTGCCTGTAATCCCAGCTACTAAGGAGGCTGAGGCAGGAGAATTGCCTGAACCCAGGAGGCGGAGGTTGTGGTGAGCCGAGATCGCGCGATGGCACTCCAGCCTGGGTAACAAGAGCGAAACTCCGTCTCAAAAAAAAAAAAAAGTTAAAGGAGGGTAATACATAATGCAATCATATTTATGATATAAAGGATAAACTGTTAAGAGGGGCAATGGATAGAACAAACTTGCCAGGAGATTATCTCAAGAGAATTCTGCCAGGAGGAACACTTATGAACTAAGGCAATGTTAGAACAGAAATGAAAATACAGATTAAATCAGCTACTTCCTTAGGGCAGTAGTCAGGCTTCACGGGCATTCTAAGCAAAATTTTCTTACCCTTTTGTGAAAAAAAAAAACAAAACAAAAAATAAAACTCAAAGAGGCTCTATAGCTTTCATCATATATGCAAAGGGGACTACAATCCCCCAAAAACCAAGAATAAGTGAATTAGAATATATTTTAGGATACTGACATTACCTATATTACTTAGCCTCTTGAATCATTATAGTCCAGTTCACAGACTTTTTTTTTTTTTTTTTTTTCATTTTTAGAGACAGGGTCTCACTGTTCCCCAGGCTGGTCTCCACCTCCTGGGCTCAAGTGATGCTCCCAAAGTGCTGGGATTACAGGCATGAGCCACCACATCTGGCCAGTTCACACAATTTCAACATAGCTCTTTCCTGCTTTAGAACTTCTGATAAATGCTATAGCTTCCGACTAGAATGCTTCAGATCTAAAAGTATACATATAGGAACATTATGAGAATTAAATGTATTGAAGAATCTAAAATAATGTTGGGCATATAGAAAGTGCACAATAGATCAGGCACAGAAGGCCAAGGCAGGTGGATCACTTGAGGTCGGCAGTTCCAGACCAGCCAGGCCAACATGGCAAAACTCCATCTCTACTAAAAATACAAAAATTAGCCGGGCGTGGTGGCGGGTGCTTGTAATTCCAGCTACTCGGGAGACTGAGGCATAAGAATTGCCTGAACACTGGGCATGGTGGCTCACGCCTATAATCCCAGGACTCTGGGAGGCTGAGATGGGTGGATCATGAAGTCAGGAGTTCAAGACCAGCCTGACCAATATGGTGAAACACTGTCTCTACTAAAAATACAAAAAAAATTAGCCAGGCATGGTGGCACGCACCTGTAGTCACAGCTACTTGGGAGGCTGAGACAGGAGAATCACTTGAGTCTGGGAGGCAGAGGTTGCAGTGAGCCAAGAGCATGCTACTGCCCTCCAGCCTAAGCAAGAGAGACTCCATCTCAAAAAAGAATAAAAAAATCACCTGAACCCAGGAGGTGGAGGTTGCAGTGAGCCAAGATCATGCCACTGCACTCCAGCCTGGTAACACAGAGAGACTCTGTCTCTAAAAAAAAGAAAGTGTTCAATAAATATTATACAGGATTCCTATCACCATTTATTTTCTTAGCATTCTATTAATTTGTTGTTAGATTTTATTGGCCAGGCGCAGTGACTCATACCTGTAATCCCAACACTTTGGACTTTGGGAGGATGAGGTAGGAGGATTGTTTAAGCCCCGGAGTTCGAAGCCAGTCTAGGTAACAAAGTGAGAACCCATCTCAAAGAAAAATAAAAACAGCCTGGTGTGGTCGTACTTGTCTGTAGTCCCACCTACTTGGGAGGCTGCGGCAGCAGGATCACTTGAGCTCAGGAGGTTGAGGCTACAGCAAGTCATGTTGGCACCACTGTACTCCAGCCTGGGCGACAGAGTGGGACCCTCCCTTGAATAAAAAAATTCTAGAGTATAAGCTCTCAAAGGAAATCATTATACACCCAGCATCTAGCACAAAATTGCACTCAAATATATTCACCAAATAATTATGCTGGAATCAATAAAACTCAGAGGCCGAACATAGACGGGGGGAAGATTCAATGACCTCTATAGCACTAGTGATGGGGAGGATAGTGTTAACTTTAATGTGGCAAGGAATAAAGAATGAGTAAGTGTGTTTTCTCAAGGGGAAGAGGCAGGCACTTGAGATTAACTGAATGGATCCATTGAATTGGAGGTAGAAAAATTAAACAGGAAGTTAGAAATACATGGGACATCTGGAGGCCAAAAATCTAGTAGTGGTTAAGAACATGGCCACTAGAGGCAGTCTAAGTTCAAATCCCAGTTCTACTGCCTCCTAGTTGCACAGATTACTTAACCTGGGCCTCAATATGCCAGTATCAGGAAAAACAAAAAAAAAGAAGCCAATTATACCTGTATCAACCTCACTGAGTTGTTTTGAGAATTAAATGAGTAAATACTGAAGCACTGGAATAACACTTAGGAAAGAGTAAACAATAAATTTTAGGCATTATTCAGATGGTACATGGTAGCTAAAAATCTGATTCTGAATATACAGTAAAAATACAAAATAGAACCAGAACCCCACATAACACCAACTGGGAACAAAAGAAAGAAAACATATGAAGAAAAGTGATAAGTGGACCACAGTTTTGGAAGCAAAACAAAATAATTTTGAAGAACTTGTCAACAGCAGAAAGTGTTGGTTAATTACATACACATGGTCTGTAAGGCCACAGGATTTCGCAATTTGAAGGTCAATCATGAACAGAAAAATAGTGTTCTAAAAGTGTTCAGAGGGGAGTGAGGGGAAAGTACAGCAAAAAGCAGGCTATATAGAGTGGGGTTAATGGGTAGTGGAGGAGCATAAAGAGAATTCTAGATCAGTGGTCCCTAAACTTCATTTCAAAGGCTTCGAAAAGAAACAGGAAATCTGATACAAGGTAGTGGACTCCCTTAATCCTATCAATAAAAGTTTTTTAACTTTATTTTCACCATCATCTGAAAAAGGAAACACATAACAGTAAAAAGTATGAAGGCTAAAAATCCCAGAATAAAGAGAACACCATTATGAAATATCACTACACTTTTCTTTTTTGTAATTTCATGGTAGAGTCATTAAAATCTTCTCATGGAAAAGACACTAAGATTTGCAAATCACTATTCCAGACCCATTTTTGAAAACCCCGAAAACAGAAAATTCAGGAGAAACAGTTCAAAGTTTTCCCCCTTAAAAGAAATCAAGTAATGTCTAAGCAAAATGTCTCCTACTAACTTAAGGATCTTTAAGTAGTAACATCTGTCATGTTACGACCAATCTGTATGCTAAAGAGTATAAACGCAAACACTAATTAAAATTTTGGGACCGTGCAGTGCACTCTGGGAGGCCAAGGCGAGTGGATCACTCAAGGTCAGGAAGTTTAAGACTAGCCTGTCCAACATGTTGAAACCCTGTCTCTCCTAAAAATACAAAAAAAAATTAGCCAGAGGTGGTAGTGCAATCCTGTAGCCCCAGCTACCAGAGGCTGAGGTAGGAGAATTGCTTGAACCTGAGAAGCAGAGGTTGCAGTGAGCTGAAATCACGCTACTGCACTCCAGCCTGGGTTGACAGAGAGGAAAAAAAAAAAAAAATTTTCCCCACATTTGCTGGAAAATCAGTAGTTTTAGAATACAAACAGTTTGACTACATTTTCTATGTATTAGCTATGTCATATTTTTACACTTGGCAAACAAGCATTTTGTATATACCCCCAAAGTATACTTATTACATACAAACTACAAAGAAAAGCATAAGGACACTTCAGCAATATATATCAACTAGGCCTCACAGCATCATCACGGGGCCTCAATAAAACTTGATTGAAATGCACCCAAGTGGTATGGGCCACACAATGCTAGAAAAAGAATTACAAGTCAGATTCCACTCTATTAAAAATGCTACTTCTTCCGTCCTTGGTTTCTGTGCCTTTCACAGAGCTTCTAGGAGGCCAGAGCCTCCAGAGGTTCACAACCTCTGTGGTCTGCAGATGCCACTGTGAGGAGGACCCTGAAAAGAATTTGCCATTTTCAGTGGAAAACAAGTGGCGGTTACTAGCTATGATGTGTTTGTACTTTGGATCTGGATTTGCTGCACTCGTCTTTACAGTAAGACACCAACTGCTTAAAAAATAAGGATGTTTCATCCATTTAACAGATATGAAGAGCATTTTAAGAGGTAATCTCTGGAAAATGGTTCAAACTTGAGCTCATATAGCATATTAGATATGTTTGTAAATAAACTTATGACATGAAAACAAAAATGCTAAGACAGTGTAACATAATGGTTACAAGAGTGGTGATATGACCATAGGCTTTGGAATCAGACAAACCTGGGCTCAGATCGAAGCTACAATACTTTATGGCTAGGTGACCTCGGCAAAATTATTTAACCTACCTAAATTTGTCTACTCACCTGTAAAATAGGAATACCTACCTCATCACATTATACTGCTGATTAAATGGCCCTTTCTAACTTTTACATAACATGAATTACCAAAATTCCACAGACAGTCCATTTTCTTCAAGCCCTAGATCAATCCAGATCTCCAGAGGATAACAGGCCTGCATATTTTTTAAAGTTCTACAAGTGATTCTGACAGGCACTACTGTTTAGAAACCATCGTCCTACAACCATACTAACAATGCTTTACCTAAGTCCAAGGTAAGGAAGAATCAGAGACAAAAGAGCTTTAAGACATGATCCTTTGGTTTAGTTCCAAGTTCCTAAGACAGACTTTTACTCCAAATTATTTTTACAGAGAACATAATCATACTGCAAAGTTCCTTTTAATATCTTTTTCAAAGCCGGGGAAAATATAATTCCCTACTAAAATTTTACATCAATATGAGGTACTCCTTAAGCTCTTTATGTTCACTACTGAAACTATTCAATAAGTAACACTTTAAAAATATGTAGAGATTGACAGTGCACCATAGAGTGTACATAATATGTAAGTTGTCTTATTTCTAGGTTGTCTTTCTTAAAAATAAATTTAAGTTTACAGTAGAAATCCACTGATGCTTCACTACAACCCTCCCACAAACTTGTATTCAACACATAGATTTTAAAACATGCATCTCACAAGCAATCTCAGTAGACCGGAGGCACCTAACGCAAATTCAATATCCTGATGCAAACCAGAAACTCTTATTAACTAAGTAACTCAATAAAACATTATAAATATATAGCACAAAAAAAAAACACCAACACCAACATGAGCATTTTATTACAAAAGAATCAGTATGAAATAAAGAGTCTAGAAATACTGTAGGACTTTTTCAAAACAAGGAAACAAAAAATTAGGATGGCTATATCATAACTACTATACCAATAGTAGAACTGAAAAACAAGCAAGAGGAATAGTCCTTAAAACACTCTTCTGTTGCTGTAAAGGAGAGGAGACCTAGAAGGGAAAGCAAATGCTAAAGGGAATAAAGGCTTCATTTAATGAACAGGTTTTACTAATTTGGACACAAGATCTCTTTCTTCTCAGCTGCTTACATTAGTGAAGTTTATAGGTGAAAAATGCAACTGCTAACTTGAAGAGTGTTAAAATCCAAACTTGCATACAATAGTACAAAGGTCGAAGAAACCAACGTGGGGAATGGTGAAGTATTTAGTGAACCTAAGCCTTAATGCATTTGTCAATGCAAATTTTAAATATAAATGTGTTACTAACTTTACTCACACAGAAAATTAAGTTTGCAGCATGATGTAGTAGAAAGCTGTATACCAACAAAATTCTATAAATCTTAAGTATTTAAAGCAGACTGTACACAACTTAAAAGAAACCACAGCTCTGACTTCAGCTTTTTGAAAGTTATGTATTTTTAAAGCCCAATATTGTATCAAAACACAATTGTAAAGCACTGAAATGACTAACAAATGTTACAATTTTTTAAAGACTTCATACAGTGTCAAAATACCTAAATATTTTTTACTTTTCAAAAGTTTAACTTCACCCACTTTGTGGAGTCATATAAAAGTTTACTAGTTCAGCACCAAACTAAAGAGATTCATATTTATTTGAGGACACCCTTTTTAGTTAATCCAGTCCTCCTCCTTTCAACACTACATTTGCCTAACTATTCACCATAGGCATATGACATATATGACAGCAAATACCGCTTACCCCTTCTAAATATACAAGTCTGAAGAACAGGTGCAATACTATTCAGACGTATGTTTTTTTTCTTCTAAGCCTAAATTTGCCCTGCAAAGGTATTTAAAAATAAACACAAATACCCAAGAAAGTTAAATAATCCTTTCAAAAAGATGCGACAATTTTGAGATCCAGGACATGAGCTGTTAACTACCAACATCTTCCAAACGTGTAGCCTATCGAAGGTTCACATTATAAGGAATGAGTCAAGCTCAACTATGAAGGGTCCTGAGGACATCTCACTTTGCTTCTCCTGCACGAGTAAGTAAGATGATTCAACTACATTTCACTTCAAACTTATATTAAATCTTTTCAATCGTTTCATAAATACAGCACAGTCAGTCTGGTGTGGTTTTTTATGGATAAAGAAAGGGATAGGGAAAGGAGGTCTAGTGAGAGTACGCTAAAAAGAAAAATTCAGTGCTAAAAGCGTTGATGAGTCACTAAGCAAGGAATAACTACAGAGAATCCAAGTGAGTAAGGCAGCATCTCAGGTAAGAAGTACTTAAAGTTAACGATAGGAAGTAAAACTTCACAGGTCAGTCGCAACTCACTGTGCACCGTAGCCGCCCAGGAAAGAAGCGTAGCTGTCAAGGGGCAAGTGCATACGAAGTCTGAGGGAGGGGGCCAGATATGCCAAATCGGAAAAGAGGGTGGTCCGGAAAAAGGAGGTAAGATGCCTATCCCTGTCCCTCTCGTTGGGCTCCTCATCTCAAGAGGAACAAACAAGAGCAAACTCGGTGTCGAGCGGCGCCAACCCGGACTCAAGCCCTGGAAGCCCGGGAAGGCCGCCTGCGGAGGAGCCCCCGCAGACGCCATACTAAAAGCCAAAATGGCTGCCCCGAGGAGGCCCGCACCGCGTAGCTAGTGAAGGCTGGGGAGCAAGCTTCTGCGGGAAAGAGGGAGGGGAACTCCAGGAAAGACGTTGAGAAGACTATCACACCCTGAGTAGCACAGGTAGGTTTCATTCGGCCTCCCGAGGCGCTGGCTCCGGCTGAAAGGAGTCCCGGCCCCACCCCCCGGCTAGGAACCCCGCCGCCGCAGCCGTCCCGCACACCGACCCCAGCGAGGTACCTGCAGTTCGGCCCGTTCCACCTCCCAGTGCGCCCGCTCCATCTCGAACCGAGCCCACTCGTGCTGGATGTAGTGCAGTATCCCCGGGATAGTGTACTGCTGCGGCCGGGACAGCTCGGGGCCTGCCGCGGGACCCGTTCCTTCGGAGGCTGGAGGACCCCCGCTGCCCGCTGCTCCGTTCCCCCCTGGCGAAAGGCCCAGGTTCCCCCCAGGTCCCTGCTGCTGCCGGGGAGGGGCCGCCATCCCGGGGCCGCCACCACCGCCTCCGGCAAGCTCGTCCATTGTGTGTGGGGCCCCGGCCGGGGCGCAGGGCGAGACGCCGACAGCTGGGGGAAGGGCTGGAAAGGGTGGCCCCGCGCTGGCGGCGGGGCGGAGGCCGGCCAGAAGAGGGACGGGGAAGGGGTCGTTGCTGTGTGCCTGCCGTGGGTCAGAGCAGGGAGCTGCCGGCCGCCGCCATTACAGTCCCTCCTCCATCTGCCCGTCTCACTCACTTTAGGGGAAGGGGGGGCCACGGAGGGAGGGGTGGGGGTAGGGTTGGGAAGGGGATAGGCGAGGGCCGTCACTAGCGCACAGCATGCCGGGTAGCGAACGCAGCCGCACGCTTAATCGCCAAATAGAGTCCGGCCTCACCCTACGCCGGCGCATTGAGAACGCATCCCTAGTCGCCGTTAGGGGGCGGGGAAGGAGTTCGGGCTCCGCCCCTAGGCCCGCCCTCAGACCCGGTCTGGTGTCTGGCGGTGGCTACCGGACGGGAGGCTGGGACTCTGACTTTTGGAAGCGAGGCGGTTCTAGGCTTCCTGGTTATCAGTTTCCTTCGAGCAGGCGATCTCCAGGCACCGTTTCCTTCCCGAGGATCTCACCCAGTGCTGGCCTTCGGAGCTGGGTATTAACCTAGCTGGTCCCTCAGGCGGACTGCAGCCTGTCTCTGATTCCTGACGTTTCTTTTTCATTCTTTTAGTGTTCAGGCAGTCCCAAAGGTGGGCTCTCTTTCCTTGCTTGTCACTTGCTCTGTCTGGTTTCTTATCACCAGTCAGTTCTCTTCTGGCAAATAGCCAAGATCTTCGGGCTGTGGTGACCGATTCTTCGTCTGGGTTTCGAGCCTAGGCTTTGGTCCCATTTTTGTGCGCTTGGTCTCCGGTCATAACTTATTCCACTTTGCGTCCCCTCTTCTTTCTTTTCCTGGAATGGGTGTATTTCGCTGGGTTGGTAGAGGAGGAGGAGAAGCAGCGATTTTTTTTCCCCCCTTGGGAGAAGAAGAGGTAGTGAATTCCTTCACATCTTGACGATGGTGGGTAGAAGGAGAAAACAAGTTTGAAGGAGACTGGCTAGACTAACAATTTGTTATCTTAGAAGTGAATGGGCTCACAAATATTGTCATGAATAGACTATTTTGATAGAAACAAAAGCATTGTGTATACAACTTAAAATCCTAGGTGGATGTTTTCCTGGGTCGTTAAATGTTTAAGTGAATATGGCCGGGCGCACCTGTAATCCCAGCACTTTGGGAGGCTGAGGTGGGCGATCACTTGAGGCCAGGGTTTCAAGACCAGCTTAGCCAACATTGTGAAACCCTATCTCTACTAAAAATACAAAAATTAGCCGGGCGCGGTGGCTCAAGCCTGTAATCCCAGCACTTTGGGAGGCCGAGGCGAGTGGATCACGAGGTCAAGAGATCAAGACCATCCTGGTCAACATGGTTAAACCCCGTCTCTACTAAAAATACAAAACATTAGCTGGACATGGTGGCGCGTGCCTGTAATCCCAGCTACTCAGGAGATTGAGGCAGGAGAATTGCCTGAACCCAGGAGGTGGAGGTTGCGGTAAGCCGAGATCACGCCATTGCACTCCAACCTGGGTAACAAGAGTGAAACTCCGTCTCAAAAAAAAAAAAAAAAATTAGCCAGGCATGGTGGTGCACCCTTGAAGTCCCAGCTCCTGGAGAAGCTGAAGCACAAGAATTGCTTGCGCTCAGGAGGCGGAGGTTGCAGTGAGCCAATATCGCACCACTGCACTCCAGCCTGGGCGACAAAGTGAGACCCTGTGTCAAAGAAAAAGTTTGAATATACACATGAAAGACAAGACTAATATTTTAAATACCATAGTGGGTATTTTTTTGTGCTTAGTTTCTTAGAAAGTATCCTAATGTACTAGTATGTTTCTAAAAATTGATATAAGAAGCACTTGGTTGAAAAATAAGACAAAAATAACAACATAAGGAAATTGGGTTCAGTAATTATATTTATAGCTATACAGGGAAATTGCATTTAAAATCTGTTGCATTAGGCCCGGCGCGGTGGCTCACGCCTGTAATCCCAGCACTTTGGGAGGCCGAGGCGGGTGGATCACAAGGTCAAGAGATCGAGACCACCCTGGTCAACATAGTGAAACCCCGTCTCTACTAAAACTACAAAAAATTAGCTGGGCATGGTGGCGCGTGCCTGTAATCCCAGCTACTCAGGAGGCTGAGGCAGGAGAATTTCCTGAACCTAGGAGGCGGAGGTTGCGGTGAGCCTAGATCGCGCCATTGCACTCCAGCCTGGGTAACAAGAGTGAAACTCCGTCTCAAAAAAACAAAAAACAAAACAAAACAAAATCTGTTGCATTTAAAAAAATTTTTTTTCTTTACTGCAAAAGCCAATAGAAGTTGTGCTATGGAGTATACACCACCAACCAATTTCCAAGAGATAAAGTAATGCATCTTATTTTATCACATCTGCTTTACTGTTATTACAGTTTAATGGAAAGCAGATTGGACTTGTTATTCATGCTGCCATGTTTTACTTATATATGAAACGATGTCTTAGATCACAGTACTGTAATGTTAAGGACTATTTCTCCAAATTATTATTTATTTTTTGAAAGAAGGTCTCACTCTGTTGCCAGGGCCGGACTGCAGCAGTGTAATCTCTGCTCACTGCAACCTCCCCGGTTCAGGTGGTCCTCCCCCTTTAGCCTCCTGAGTAGCTTGGACTACATACAGGCACACATCACCACACCCAGCTAATTTCTGTATTTTTTGTAGAGACAGGGTTTTGGCATCCAGGCTAGTCCTCAACTCCTGGGCTCAAGTGATCAACCTGCCTTGGCTTCCCAAAGTGCTAAGATTACAATTTCTCCAAATTATTAAGTTACTATTTATCTTATAGTTACCAACATACAACCTGTTTATTCATCCAATTCCTTTTTAGGGGGCCTCATAGCACATAAAAAGTTCAGAAAAATCATGCTGCCTCAAAGACATGTATATATATATATATATATATATATATATATATATATATATATATATATGTCTTTGAGGCAGCATGATTTTTTTTTGAGGCATACATATATATATATATGTATGTCAGTGTGTGTGTGTGTATATATATATATGTAAGTGTGTGTGTGTATATATATATATATATATACATGTCTTTGAGGCAGCATGATTTTTTTTTGAGGCATACATATATATATATATGTATGTCAGTGTGTGTGTGTGTATATATATATATGTAAGTGTGTGTGTGTATATATATATATATATACATGCTGCCTCAAAGACATATATATACATGTATACACACACACACACACACACACACACACACACACACACTGAGACATTTGTGGCCGGGCACAGTGGCTCACACCTATAATCTCAGCACTTTGGGATGCCGAGGCAGGCAGATCACTTGAGCTCAGGAGTTGGAGACCACCCTGGCCAACATGGCAAAACCCTGTCTCTACAAAAAATACAAAAATTAGCCAGGCATGGTGGCACGTGCCTGTAATCCCAGCTACTTCAGAGGCAGAGGTCACAGTGAGCCAAGATCATGCCTCTGTACTCCAGCCTGGGTGACAGAGTGAGGCTCCTTCTCAAAAACAACAACAACAAAAAACCATTTGTAAGAGAGTGTGGTTGACCTGATGATACCATCGAAAGAAGACTAACATGCACACTTATGTGTCCCACTAGTACCTTAAGCTTAAGGAAAGACTGGATTTATTACCCTTTTTGCCTTCTCATCTACCCTCAAAACAAAAACAAACCTGCTTCTCTTCTATTATCCACCTTATTAAGTGGCACTAAATCCAAACTTGAAGCCTAGCAGTGACTCTAGTATCTTTCACTCAGCCCCCACAATCCAGTTTCTTTCCCAGTAACATACTTCCTATGGATTCTATTTTCTTTCTTCATACTTTAAAGCTTCCTACCTCCATTCTTCCCCCACTTTGCACTATCACTGCTGCTTGAGTGGTCTTCCTAAAATGAAGATTATGATTCTGTCATTCCTCTGTTTAACATAGCTTAGTGATTTCTAAATTTAGAATAAAGCCCAAATATTAACATAGCATATAAATAGATCTAGATCCACCCTATAACCTAACCTACCGTGACACCATCGTATCATCCTGTTGTTCTCTTCAGCCAAACTGCACTGTTTTTGTTTCCTCAAATGTATAATGCTATTTCATTCCACAGTGATTTAACATATGCTGTGCTCCATTGCCTTTGCTTCAAAACTCAACTCAGATCAGGCACAGTGGCTCATGCCTGTAATCCCAGGACTTTTGGAGAGAGATGGGAGGATAGTTTGAGCCCAGGAGTTCGAGATCAACCTGAGCTACATGGCAAAACCCCGAAAACCCATCCCTACTAAAAATACAAAAATTAGCCGGTGTGGCCACATGAGTCTATAGTCCCAGCTACTCTGGAGGCTGAGATGGGAGGATCACCTGAGCCAAGGAGGTCCAGGCTGCAGTGAACCATAATTGCACCATTGCACCAGTGCACTGCAGTCTGGGCAACAGAGCAAAACCCTGTCTTAAACAAAATCCTCCCCCAAATAACAAAAAACTCAGCTCAAACATTACCTTGTTTAAGAAACCTCTATATCCCTGAGTTATTTTGACTCACTATTCTAGTAGCCTCCTTCCCATGCTTACCTTTTTTTTTTTTTTTTTTGAGACTGGGGCTCCTCATTCTTGTCACCTAGGCTGGAATGCAGTGGCACCATCTTGGCTTACTCCAGCTTCAGCCTCCCTGGCTCAAGCAATCCTCCCACCTCAGCCTCCTAAATAGCTGGGACCACAGGTATGTGCCACCATGCCCAGCAAATATTTTTGTCTTTTTTGTAGAGATGGGTTTTCCCCATGTTGCCCAAGCTGGTCTTGAACTCTTGGCAAAGTGCTGGGGTTAAAGGTGTGAGCCACTGCACAGGGCTTTATCTCTTTAAGAGTTATTACACTGTATTTACATCATCTGTATACTGATCAGTAACACTCATACTAAACACTGCAAAAACAATACTTACACATAATGAGTATTCAATAAATTTTTGCTTTACTCATTTCTATTTTTTGTAGAGACGGAGTCTCACTGTGTTGCCCAGGCTGATCTTGAACTCCTGGGTTCAATCTATCCTCCCACCTCAACCTCCCAAGTAGCTAGGACTACCAGTACATACCGCCAGGTCTCAAACTCCTGACCTCAAGCAGTCCTCCTTCCTTGGCGTCTCAAAATGCTAAGATTACAGGCATGAGCCACTGAGCCCAGCCCATTTATTTATTTATTTAATAGAGATGGGATTTCACCATGTTGGTCAGGCTGGTCTTGAACTCCCGACCTC